AAGGGTCAAAAAGGAAAGTGAAACATTCTTCCTTTTTCTCTCCACGAAAATCACTGGCACGAGAACGTGCCCACCAGTGTGCCGGGTGCTGCTGTTGGAAAAATTAAAGCCGAGTTTGGATGGCACAGACCCCTGAAACAATGGCAGCCTTGGGGACCCCGGGGCTGTACGTCACAGACCGAAAATCCTAAAGAGGGCCTTGCAGAGGCCAGGTTGGGAGCAGAGGACAGGACATTCCGATGGAGTGAGAGAAGCCCAGGTCGGGAAGGCAGGAATGACAGGGCACATGCACACTTACTACAGGGAGATGAAACACTGTCAGATCTCGCCTGGATCCGACCAGAAACATACACATGGTATGCGCCCAACCAGCCGTGTCCTGGGAGATGAACACACTACAACCTCACCTGAGAGCACCTGTACCTGCAGGGAGTTTCTGGTCTCCTTCTGCACAGTGCAAGCGTCCCAGGAGCTCAAGCAGCTACACACTCAAATTTTCAGGTGACAAGAAATTCAGACTGCTGGAGAGAGGACTGCTTCCCAGCTGGGTCTTCAGGGTTCCCAGCTGGGCGGGAGGGTAAGGGGAACAAACCGCTGGCAGCGTATACGTCATGAACAATCGCCGAATCTGTGCCGTGAGAATTGCAGCCAATTCTAAGAGTCGTCAAGTGCTCACACAGATGACACACACACACACACACACACACACACACACACACACACAGGTCTGAATATCCAGAATCTGACTGACCTGGTGACTGAGCGTGAAGGCAGACCTAGAACCCTGGGCATTGGCCAGGGGGGGAACTAATGAGAGCTGCGGGGATTCCTCCCACAGCTCCTTTCCTATCCAGATAACATATTCCCTGTCACCCAGAGTAGGTTTTCCTGCCTCCATCCCTCTGCTCAGGCTACTCTATCCTCCTAGACCCGTGGTTGGCAAATTGTGGCTTGCGAGCCACATGTGGCTCTTTGGCCCCTTGAGTGTGGCTCTTCCACAAAATACAATGGCCTGGGCGAGTCTATTTTGAAGAAGTTTAAAAAATTTGGCTCTCAAAAGAAATTTCAGTCGTTGTACTGTTGGTATTTGGCTCTGTTGACTAATGAGTTTGCCGACCACTGTCCTAGACAAATCCTACACATCCTTCATGACTCAACGTCTCACATCCTCTATATTAAGCATGTCAAACTCACGGCCTCTGGGCCGCATGACTCATTTGTTTGGCCTGTTAGCCTTTGAGTTTGGCATGCTTGCTCTACATGGTGTTCTAAGCCAGCCTCAAGCATCTCCCTCTTCAAGTACTTAGCAAAGAATCACCTAAGCTCTATAAGGCTCTATAAGGCTTAAAGAGCTCTTCTGTTGTTTTCTTCACCTCTTATTTAAATCAAAAGCAATTTTCACCTTTCTCCCAGTCTTCCTCGACATGACCCCTCTCTGAGAGGCTTGGGGCACATTTTATAGATCTTTGGATCCTTCCACCCTACCTCCTAAGGTGCCTTATACAAATGTGGAATTACACTGCCAACTTCGTTTCTGGGCACATAATTACATTTGGCTTACATCAATCATCTTACGATTCAAACCTCACACTTAGAAAACGTGCAGCCACCCAGCTGGCATGCCTCAGTGGTTGAGCGTTGACCTATGAACCAGGAGGTCACTGGTTCGATTCCTGGTCAAGACACATGCCCGGGGTTACGAGCTCAATCCCCAGTATGGGGAGTGCAGAAGGCAGCGGATCAATGATTCTCTCTCATCATTGATGTTTTTCTCTCTTTCCTCTTTCCCTTCATCTCTGAAATCAATAAAAATAAATAAATAAAATACACCTCTGCAACCAATGATATATGAAAGCAAAAAGAAAATATAATTAAGCGCTGAAAAATCTTAAAAGTCCCCATTATTTTACAAATGAGGAAACTTGCTCAGGTGTGTGTGTTTACAATAGGCAGGTGTAAAAAATTAGGTCCCAGCCTGAAGGACACAAGGAAATCTGGCCACAAGCAGGTGAAGACTCTAATGGGGGTTTGCAATTGCAAAGGTTAAAAAAGGTTTTCAAATACAAATTGAGACCAGCAGAGGTAACTAATACTGAGATGTGGGGTTAGTTAAGCACCAAAACCTAGATTATACGAGTATGGTGTGATATTTAACATAAACCTGGACAGAACTTCCAGGAAACGCACAGACCCAAACTCGGTTATTTTGAAACTCTATTTACTGTAATGGTTTTTTTTTTGTTTTTTTGTTTTTTAACTACTTTAAAGCTCTGCTTACATTTACTCTATTAAAAGAGAAAGACATCACATGGAGAAGACTTTCTAAAAATAAGTTCGTCTTTGGAAGCTCATTTTGAGGGGTGCTGAGTTGCGACTGCATTTTCAAGGATGTCAATAACACAAGGGCTCCATCCATAACTCCTTGAAGAAGGAAAAAAAAAAAAAAACACACCAAAAACCGAAACCATGACCGCCTTGTCAAATTCAGACAGTTTATCTTGGCACTGGCAAGCCGAGCAGTCTCTTCGATGTCTGGAAACGTGTCTAATTACGTGTAGAGAGGAACTAAAAAATAGCCCGTGTCCTGGAACAGATCGCTCCACAGCATCCCGCACGACGCGACGGAGCCACGCCAGGGAGGGGCGAGGGGGTGGTGGCAGAAGGGAAGAGAAAAAGAAAAGCCAGCAAGTGTGAAACCGGGGTGCGCCCCCAGCTCCTCTCCCAAACAGCCTCTAAGTCTTCCCAGGACTCCGGGCCGCCGCGACTCTCCCTAAAGTTACTTTCCGTCACTTTTGTTTCCATGAGGTCACCGGCCCGCCCACATCACTCACCTGGGGGAGCACCCCAGCCTGCTCTGCCCCCCGCGCTGCTCTCAGCTCCGCACAGCCCTTACACCTCCCACCCACCCCCACCCCCACCCCGGACAGCACCCGGGGCACCCCCTCTCAGGAAGGCGCACCCCTCCGGCTCCGCACGCCCCTCACACGCCGATGCAGCCGCGCCCGGGGCGTCCTTTCTCGGCCAAGAGCCCGGGATACCCCCATTCCCTTGGCACCCCATTCCTTGAGCTCGGGGCGCCCCCCGCACCCACAAACCCGGCCGCACCGCAGGGGTGGGGCGCCCCCTCTCGGGGCCGCGCAGGCTCGCGCTGGGGCGCCCGGCCGCTCCGCCCTCACCTGAGTCGGAGGTTGGCCATGAACTCGGGCATCGAGACGGTGTCCATCAGCACGAAGTCCGCCTTGCCGAACTCCAGGCTCTCCTGCTCCGCCATGGCGCCGGCGGGCAAGCGGGCTGAGGTGGGCGCCGCGGGGCTCAGGTGGGCGCGCCGGGGGCGCGGGAGCCGGTGCGGGGGCGCGCGGCGAGCTCGGGCGGGGCCGGGGCGAGGCCGCGGGCTGGGGGGCTCCGGGGGGCGGGGGCGCCGCGCTCTGCTCGGGGGGTCTGGGCCGGACGGAGGCCGCCCCGCTGCTCCTCGGCGCGCGCTCTCGGTCGGTCCGCGCGGCGCACCCGGCAGTTTCCGCTTCTCCCGCGGCGGCCGCCTGGCGCTGTGGGGGGACGGGGCACCGAGACGGAGACGGCGGCGGCTGGTCCCGCCTCTGGCCCGGGTCTGGCCCCGGCCCCGCGGCCTCGCGCCCCGCCCCGCCCCGGCTTCTCGGGCCCCGCCCGGCCCCGCCTGGCCCCGCCCCGCCGCCGAGGCCCCGCCCCGCGGCGGCGCGGACCTCCGCCTCCTCACCTGGGCGGCGGGGGCGCGCTGGCGCGGAGACTGGCTGGGCGCGGGACGGCAGCGCCCTCTGGGGACCGGCGCTGGGAGCTCGCGGGGCGGGGCCGAGGAGGGCGGGCATAGGAGGGTGGGTGGGATCAAGTGTCCAGCAGGGTGGCGGCCTCCCGCCCTCGCTTGGTAAATGCCAACCAAGTCACAAAAGGCGCCTGCCCCCGGAGCTTTTGGCGAGGTTCATTTCTAAGGATCCAGTCGCCCAGCCGCAAAGCCCCCTTCTGCCTCTCTGCTCACATCCCCTCCTTAAAAGGATGCTTTGCGCTCAAATTGAAAGAATAACAGCTAACATGTTGGTGACAATCAAACTGACCAAAGCACCTCAGAGAACTTAAGTAACTTGCCATATGGCTAGGACGTGAGGAAGCTGCATTTTCATCCAGGTCAATTGGCTTATGAGCCAAATGGCAGACTGCTTTCCTTTCCCAATGTCCTATAATCCACCCTTCTCTTCCACACCTCCGAGGATATCATCAAACATCCGCTTATATTGTTATTAAGTGTTTAATATATGTATGGATCGTCTCCCTGGGATTATTGGAGGCTACCTGAGCATGGGTTCATGCCCTAAATGTCTCGATTTCCCCCTTGGCACCCACCAAGTCCTATTGTACTGCCTTGCACCTGTAGCTATGAAGTCCACAGCGGTTCAATGGACTAGAACAAGCTTCAGTGGTCTCCAATTTATAGATACATTGGTTGAGCTTGGAAAATTCCTTGGGAACTTTGACTACATTTCCCAATGAAAATACTTTATAAATGGCTTAAAAGGCAACTCCTCTTCTGTCTGGTGTTTCCTTGAGGACCATTTTCTGTTCCAAAATCAACTAGGGGATATGGAACACCCCCAACCCCCAAAAGACCTGGATAGGCTCCAGCTTTTTAAAAAAAATATATATATTTTATTGATTTTTCACAGAGAGGAAGGGAGAGAGATAGAGAGCTAGAAACGTCGATGAGGGGGAAACATCGACCAGCTGCCTCCTGCACAACCCCTACTGGGGATGTGCCCGCAACCAATGTACATGCCCTTGACCGGAATCGAACCCGGGACCCTTCAGTCCTCAGACCGAGGCTCTACCGCTGAGCCAAACCGGTTTCGGCTAGGCTCCAGCTTTGTGGGCCAATTTGACTGAGGACTCTGCTCACGGTCTGCTTCAGCTGTGAAAACCCGCCCTGGCCAGGAGAGTGAGGAAGGCAGCTTGGTTACCTTCCCCGAGAGCTGCCCCACCCTGGCCCAGGCAGAGCTGCAGTCTGACCACCACTGGCAGCTCTCCTTCCTCCAAAGAAACCCCTGTGGGTCTCAGTGTGTGGAGTAAGACACTGTCCAAGGTAGGACTGTCCTTTATGTGGGTCATTTGTGTGGGCCAGCCAGTGGCTAAACAGGTGATGGCATAGAGTATGGTATAGTCCTAAAATGCTGGTGTTGGTATGTTTTCACAGAAGTAGAACTGGGTTTCACAAAGAAAAGCAAGAAATCTCAAATGTTGTTCTATTTGGAGCAAACAGGGACCACACTCAATGACCTATTACTAAATGTATATATGTGTGTTTCCTGAGCCCTGGGTCACTAGAACAAAAGAGATTGTACAGTGGGTATGATTTATACAGTGATTTACAGTGATGGGTTTCACATGGCCAAAGCAAGGGAACTCTTGTTTCAATCAATATTTCATACAGGAGCCCAACGTATATAACATATACAGAACATATGCAAAGGGTATATTATAAGCTGAGATTAGTATAAAATCAGGCATCAAGACAAATGAGGCTCTTTTGATGAACCCTGATCTGTGTAGCGGGGCTCACTGTCACCTTACATCGGCCTCAGGATCCCAATTTTCTTTTGCATGTGGTTTTGGTTGTACAGTATCAAGACAATTCTGATTTGCATGGGTAAGCAGTAATTTTTTACTCCCACACTTTCACATTCAGCCTTTGTAAAGGCAAAAACACAGCTACAATCTGGTGAATCAATGACCCATTTACAGGAAGTTACAATATGGGCAGAGATGGCCAGAGAAACTAAACACTGAAGTCTGCATTCAAACAAGGAACTGTAGAGCAGGTTAGCTCATTAATCTCCTTTGTGATAAAAATTTGTATGTGAACACGTTTGGCTATGTAGTATGGGTGTGTGTTACACTTGAAAATAATGTACCAAAAAACAAAATAAAAATGAACATCACCAATAAAGAGATACACATGAGTGATGTGAGCTCCTAAAACAGACCTAACATCACTCACCTGCTGGATACGCATCAACTGAATCGAATCCTGAAGAAACACAAAATAAGCCCACATTAGGGGGCCTTCTACAAAGCAGCCAATCCGCACGCTTTCAAAAACATCAATGGCATGAAAGACAAAGAAGGGCTGGGCCAGGTTAAAGGATCCCAGAGAGACACCACAACTGAAGGCCATATGTGACCTGGACTGGATCTCACACTAGAAAAAGGAAAAAGACATTACTGGGAGAATTGGTGAAATTTGAATACAGACCATGTATTAGTTGGTTTTCCTGAATTTGATCATTGTGCTGTGGTTCTGTACCAAAATGTCTTTGTTCTTAGGAGATACACTCTAAAGTATTTATGGCTTAAGTTGTTTGGCAAAGGTAATAATAATGTGTTGGATATACCCATAGGTAGATAGATGGATAAAACAAATGTAAACAATCGGTGGATATACAGTATAAAAAATATATGGGAGCATTTTTTTTTAATAGTTTTGTAACTCCTCTTTAAGTTTTAAATTATTTCAAAATATAAAGTTAAAAATTAAATAATGGTCTAAAACTGTTAAAATTTTTAAAACTTATTTGAGAAATCAAATAATACTTACACGTGAAAGTCACAACAGGCGTTGACAAAACTGAAAAACCAGTACATGCTTTGAAAACTGATAGAGAATATCTGTTAGCTCTGGTTGCCAGTGCTGTGCTAGGAGATTATAAACACTGAAGGAACAATTCTAAAAGCAAAAATAATGTAATGTTTGCTTTAGTTGTCAAATACGGCCATATGCCCCAGGCAGAGTACTTCCTGCTCTCTGCCTGAAATTCTTTCCTGCTGTCAGCCTTCACCGCTGTGGCCTAGCTAACTTCTGCTCATCCCTTAGCTCTCAGCCTCAACATCACCTCCTCCAAGAAGGCTTCCATGATCTTTCAAGTCAGTGTTGGCTGTCCCTCCTGTGTGCCCCCACAGCACCCTGGAAGAGTCACTCCTGTTACAGCACCGAACACACTTGAGCCCATTGTCCATCTCTCATTAGACTGAGCCATGAGGGCCGTAAGTGGTGTCTGTTCTGTTTTCGGAGGTAACTCTGGCACCTGGTAGCACAGTGCCGAGGGTGTGAAGCTCTTAATAAACAGCCGCTTGATAAATGAAAATGGGATGGTCTCTGATCTGTGGCTTATGTGATGTGAGGTTGTAATCCATCCGCTGGGTTGATCTTCTGCATTAAAATCAGTCTTTGTGCAGCATTTATCTCATTCTCTCTCCTGCCCCTAGAAGCAGGTCTCAGGGCTGTGCTCACTTCTCCCCTGGGGCCAGGCCGGCACATTCTATGTCCACACTGAACAGAAGCTGCTGTTGGGAAAACATGTCTGTACTTGACAGCTGCTGTAGAGGATATGCTCTGGGTTACCCATGAAAACCTGAATCTTCCACAGCAAATATTTGCCTCTGTTCTACCTTCCCAGCATGCTCCTGGGCTGCCCCACCCGGGCTGCCCCACCCTCCCTCTCTTTCCCAGGTGCTCTGCATCCAGGAAGACAACTCATGGCAGCCTGCGTCCTGCCAGACCCAGGCAGGAAGGCCGGGAAAAGCAGTCACACCGCATGTTGTTAGTCCCGGTGATTTCAGAGCAGAAGTAAGAAGGCACATTTACATTGCAGAGTAACTTCATGATGCACTCCCAGCCTGATAGCCATGAAATGGAGCTCTCTGCCTTAGATATTATTCAAAACGTTCTTTCTGCTCTTTCATGCCTATGGCTGGAGTTGCACTCATCCAAGATATGTTCTCTATGGTTAAAGGAGCCTAAATTTAAAAAATATATATTTTTATTGATTTTAGAGAGGAAGGGAGAGGGAGAGAGAGATAGAAACATCAACGGTGAGAGAGAATCATTGATCAGCTGCCTCCTGCACACCCCCTACTGGGGTTTGAGCCCACAACCCAGGCATGTGCCCTTGACTGGAACCGAACCTGGGACCTTTCAGGCCACAGGCAGACACTCTATACACTGAGCCAAACCAGCCAGGGCAAGCCTAAATTTTTTAAAAAACAGACCCAACCATTGCCTCCCTGTTGTCAATGTATTGCCCACCTGTGAACAGCTCCCCTACCCCACCCCCGGCTCCTGCACCCTTGCCTTTCACACTACAGACATCCCAAAGGACACAGGAGAGGGGGTTTTCATAGCAGGGATCACGGGCATTAACCACCCTGAAAGCCCAGGAAGTGACTTAAGAATTTCATCTTCTGCCAAAACCAGTGTGGCTCAGTGGATAGAGGGACAGCCTGCAGACTGAAAGGTCCTGGGTTCGATTCCGGTCAAGGTTATGTACCTTGGTTGTGGGAACATCCCCAGGAGGCGGTGTGCAAGAGACAGCTGATCAATGATTCTCTCTCATCAATATTTCTAACTCTCTATCCTTCTCTCTTCCTCTCTGTAAAAAATCAATAAAAATATATTTAAAAAAAAAGAATTTCATCTTCTCACTTCCAGTTATTAAAGACAGAGGATCAGCCAGCCAATGACTGATCCAGGGTGCCCTGGGGGCACAGACCTGGTTCTGGGTCCCAGGGATTTCTGTCCCTGTGGCCCAGCTGAGCTTACCTGTGACAGAGATGAGTTGGGGACATAAAGATCTTCCTTTAGCTCTTTGGAATGGCTGATACTTGCGGGCAGAGCTCCTTTTAATATATAATCAAATGAAGCCCAAAGGAAGTTGGGAAATGCCTGAAAAGAGGGGGAGGAGAGGGAGGAGGGAGGAGAGGAGAAAGGGGTTGCCTCTGCCAGGGTCTCAGGGCAAGTAAATAGTAACAGGCACTGGTTCTCCATGTTTAGGTGTCACCATCCTTTGATGATAACGTGTGGACATTGGCTCCCAAGACAAATGCATCAAGCACATACACAAAACAATTGGCACGTGGGCTCCTCCCCATACCCACCCCCTCCTCCGTCCTGCCACCCAAAATAACCTGTCTATGCATCCCAAAATTAAGAGCCCCTGGGCTAAGGGAAGGGTCACACCCCAGGTCCTCGTCATGGGGGAGTGGAGAAGAAGGTAAGCGTGTCATCACCATCGGTATCCTGTGAGTCACCAGACAGGGACTGTCCCAAGAGCACATCCTCCTCCTGGGCAGAGGAGCCACCGATTGGAGGCCACAGGAAAGACAATCGGATGGCGCAGGCAGACACAGCCCGGGGCTGCCAACAGAATTGTTCCTGCCTAGGACAACATAGTTTCTGGCTACGGACATGTCACTGGAATGCATCCTCTTTGATAATGACGTCAGTACTTATCACACTGAGTTGGAGTTGGCTGTCTAGGCGTGTCCCTAAACTCTCCAGGACAGGGCCATGCCCTGATCATCCTTTCCCTTTGAGCCCTCAAGCTGTGCTCTTGCCCTGAGGTATTCTTCACTAGAATGGGTGAATTCAGGGTAGGGGATAGCTGTAATATTCTATTACAAGGAGCGTGGGGCATTTCTCTGAGCCGCAAGCCAGAAAAACCACTAAATCTTGAGCCAGAGCTAGAAAATGCAGAAGTGTGAGAGGAACTCATGAAAGGGAGAGCAAAAAGGCGCATCCTCAGCTGATGCATGGATTGATGCTGTCTTAAGGCAGGATGTCTCCCACTTGGAGCCTGTCCAATGTGGCTCAGTGCATGCATGTCAACCTGTGAACCAGGAGGTCACAGTTTGAGTCCGGGTCAGGGCACGTGCCCGGGATGCCAGCTCCATCCACAGGACGGGGCATGCAGAAGGTAGCTGATCAATGTTTCTCATCATTGATATTTCTATTTCTGTCTCCCCTTCCTTTCCTCTCTCTGAAATCAATATGCATATATATTTAAATTGCTGGAATTGAGAAAAATTTCAATTCCCTTCTTCCCTTCACCAGACAAAGTAGCACATAGTTAGTACTAACATCACCTACCATTAATATTGGGTTAGTGTCTACAGAGCTGACATTCAGGAGGAATGTGACACCGTGCTTTAAGTGACATCTCCTAATCCGTCTCCCAACCCGCTCTCCTCTGGCCAACCCCCAGAACTTCTCAGCGAGTGGGCAGCACCTGACTCCTAGAGTTAAGATCATGAAGTCAGATGACATTAACATGCACAGAGTGAGTCTCTGACCTTTTCCCAATCAACTGGATTAATTTTTCAGACTATCTCTAGAGGTAGAAATAATATGAGCAGTATTTTTATCCAAATTTTGATAACCTAACCCTAAAGAAATGAGACAAGGGGAAAATTTCAATGATCTAAAAGTACAATCCAGCCCACCTGGTGTTGCTCAGTGGTAAAGCAATGACCTATGAACCAGGAGGTGACAGTTCGATTCCCAGTCAGGGCACATGCTGGGTTGGCTCCATCCCCGGGGAGGGGGGGGGGCATGCAGGAGGCAGCTGATCAGTGATTCTCTCTCGTCATTGATGTTTCTATCTCTCCCTCTTCCTTCCTCTCTGAAATCAATAAAAAACATATATTTAAAAAAAAAAAATAGACGAAACCGGTTTGGCTCAATGGATAGAGCGTCGGCTTGGGGACTGAAAGGTCCCGGGTTTGATTCCGGTCAAGGGCATGTACCTTGGTTGCGGGCATATCCCCAGTAGGGGGTATGCAAGAGGCAGCTGATTGATGACTCTCTCTCATTGATGTTTCTAACTCTCTATCTCTCTCCCTTCCTCTCTGTACAAAATCAATAAAATATATTTAAAAAAAATAAAAAAATAAAATAAAATAAAAATAAATAAATAAATAAAGTAAAAGCAGAATCCACAGAATCTAGGAGACCTCAGAAGCCGTGTAATCCAATATCCCACCCAAGGCCTGAATCCCCTCTACAATGTGCTATGATGCCTGGACCATTTGACTCATTAGGCCACCCCCACTCGCTACAGGTGTCTCCCCAAAAAGCAGACTCCAGGGGAAAGTGACTGGTGTGACTGAGAGATAAGCA